TCCCACTGCCACTACCTCTCTGCTGGAGCATCTCTCTGCTGGGATGTCTTTCAGGCAAGGAGGTCCAGGGCAGGGATCTCAGGTCCAAGAACACACCCCACTTCACCTCCACCTCACTTCACCTTCTCTCATGGTGGCAGTGAGATCCCCTCTCTGCCCCTAGGAGGGCTCATTTTAAGCCTGGCAGAATGATAAAACTAACCAATCCTGACATCAGAGTTCTACACATCTTATTCTTATGGTCTGATCCTGTAATCTGGTGGGATTTACAAAGACTATGGCTAGAAAAGCCATACAAAGTAATGCAGTGCAGCACACTGAGTCAAACATTGGACTGGAACTTTCCTGTCCTTGTTACACACAATGCGTATGGAAAATTAAAATAACTCCCTTCATTACATATATTTGATGGCCAAACCTATAAAATGTTTTCTCATTCAAAGAGTATATTGGGAACATTCCTGTGTTTGTAAGACACAATGAACTTTGCAAACTAGGATAACTCTCTTGATTTAATGTACTTGCATGGAACAATCTGTGTAGTCCTATGTCAAGTCAAACAAAGAAGTTTCCAATCCTTGCAAAAGAAGTTATATTTTGAAAACCTGTATTGGCTTCATTTATTTGAATGGGGTAATCATTGTAGTGTTTTCTCAAAGAATGTATGGGGAAATTTCATGTCCTTGTTATATATGGTTTATTTTTGAAACCAAGATAACTGTTGAATTCACGTACTTCAACTGAATATACTTTTGCCATGTTTTATCTAAGGATGCATTTATTAAGCTCACATTTTAGTTACATAGCATGTACTTTGAAAACCAAGATAACCCTCTTGACTTCATGTATTTAAATGGAAAATCTGTACATTTTTCTCAAAGAATGTGTTGTGAATTTTCCTGTCCTTGTTACACACAATGCAGTTTGAAAAAACAGAATAATTCCCTTGAGTTTATATATGTGTTTGAGCAAATGTGTGTAGTCCTTACTCAGTCAAAGAATATACTGTAAATTTTCTCAACCTTGCAATACAAGATTTGGTTTGAAAACCTGTGTTATGGGTAGAATTGAGTCACCAAAAAAGTGTATGTCAACCTGGCTAGGCATTGATTCTCAATGTCATGTAATTATCCTCCATTTTGTGATCTGGTGTAATTACCCTATGTGTTGTAATCCCTAACATCTATGATGTTAATGACAAAGGATTAGAGGCAGTTATGTTAATGAGGCAGGATGCAGTCTATAGGATTAGACTGTATCCTGAGTCAATCTCTTTTGAGATATAAAAATACTAAACTGAGATTAGAGAGACTTGGCTAGCACCTAGAGAAAAGCCATGAGCATAGCCTGTCGTCCTTCGACCCATGGTTCCTATGGTAACTTCCTAGACCCAAGGAACATTGATGCCAAAGCAAGTGGAGATTTCCAAGAAATACCAAGCTCACAGATGCTGAAAGGAGACAAGTATATTCCTCCTAAACTGAGTTAACAAAGAAAGCCTTCCTCTGGAGCTGTCACCCTGAATTTGTATTTCCAGCCTCCTAAACTGTGAGTGAATAAATTGTTTGTTAAATCCATCCACTTGTGGAATTTGTTATAGCAGCATTAGATAACTAATACAACATGGAGAACTATCTTGATTTCATTTAATTGAATGGGAGGATCTGTGTAGTGCTTTCTAATCGAAGAATGTATGGGGAAATTCCATGTCCTTGTCATAGACAATGCATGTTATAAACCAGGACAACACCTAATGAAAACATGTACTTGAATGCAAATTCTGTGCAGAATCTTCTAAAAAAATGTACTGTTAACTTTTCTCTCCCTTTTACATACAATGCACTTTGAAGACGTGGATAACGTTGACTTTGTGTCCTTGAAAGGCATAATCTTTGCAGTGATTTCTCAGTACTACTTGGACTTTCCGGTCCAAGGAATACTAGGTGAGCAAGCTAAGGAATAAGGGTGAGTGGGCCTACTGTCGGCCCCAGAGCTGATGCTGCTGAATCCAAGACCCAAACCAAAAACCAAACCAACTGCTATCAAGTCAGTTCCAACTCATAGCCACCTCCACTGAGTTTCCCATGTAGTAAATAATTGCCCCATCTTCCTTCCGCAGAGTGGCTGATGGGTTTGAACCCCCAACCTCCCAGTCAGCAGTCAAATGCCTTAGGCACTGCGCCATCAGAGTTCCTTGAATCCAAGACTAGTACACTTGTTTTCTGACTCCCAATCGTGGGACATCCAATTATGCGTGTTGGGAACATGGTGGTTTGGAGTTACCAAGTCTAAAGGTGTTCATTTCAGCCTGACTCCAAAGAACTGGGCGTGAGGACGCAGTGACGACATGGCCTTAGGTGGGGATTCTGCGCGCTCCGCCCAGGCTGCTTGGGAAATCACACTGTGGCATTTCGTGTCCGGAAGTTCAAGCCTAGCGTCTGCTGCTCGTTGTTGTTGTTGTTGTTGTTGTTGTTATTTGCCCTGGAGTCGGCCGACTCATAGTGATCCCTCCTTGGGTTTCCCAGGCAGTATCACTACGGAAGTAGGATTGCCCAACCTGCCTTCCGAAGAGTGCCTGGTGGGTTTGAACCACCAGCCTTCTGGTTAGCAGTCAAGTGCCTTAGGCACTAGGCCACCAGAGCTCCCCCAATTCGCTGACCACAAAGAAAAAAGCGGGGAGGGCGGGGCGGCGGCGCGGGAAGGGCGGGCGGCGGCGCGGGGCGGGCCGGGAGCCGCGCAAGGATAAACGTACCATGAAGACGTCGCTTCCGGCTAACCTCAGCCAATCACAGGTTTCATTCTTGGCTTTCCCCTGGAAGTCGTCTCTTTTGCCGGACTCTTTGGTCTGTTTCCTTGTTTCCTGCCGATGCCCTGCGAAGGGTGCGTTTCCTTTTTCCGCCGTTGTCCATGTGTGTTTGAGGAGTTGTAGCAGTAACCTGGTAATGATTGCGGGCTGGGAGTAGCGCCAGCGGTGGCAGGTCGGAGGGCTGGGGCTCTGGTGGTATTGGTGAGTTGCACACTTGTTTAGGATTATCCTTGGGAGCTCCCAGGAGCTCTGGTGGTGAAGTGCCTAAGGCATTTGACTGCTAACCCGAAGGCTGGTGGTTCAGACTGACCAGCCGCTCCTGGGAAGATAGGTTGGGCAATCTACTTCCGTAGTGATACTGCCTTGGAAACCCAAGAAAGACTCGTTATGAGTCGAATGCGACTGGAAGGCGGTGCTTTGCGTTTGTTGTTGTAGGAGCTCTCAGGGCTCTGGACTGACAAAATATTTCGTTTTCGCAGAAGTCCTTAGAGGTCTTGGCATGATGAAGTAAATTTGTGCTGAGTCCCGACTGGGAGGGGAGGTGGCGGAGCGAATTTCTTGGCGAGTAATCCAAGCGGCTGACGGTAGAATTGAGCTAGATTTGTGGGCTCCAAATTGTGCTTTTTCCGCTAAGAAGAGCACTAGTAAAATATAAAATATAAAAGAGTTATATAAAATACGATAGAGAAGAAAATTATATTTTAAAGTCACCAGTGACTAATTTGAAAGCATTCCTGGAACCCAGTTTTGCTTCCCAGGCCGTTGTTCCTTGACGTTATGCTAAGATATGAAAAACTAGTTGCCCTAGTGTGGACCCTGACTTAACGGCAACCCTGTGTGTTTCAGAGTAGAATTGTGCTTCATAGGGTTTTCAGTGGCTGGTTTTTTCATAAGTAGATCGCCAGTCCTTCCTTCCAAGGTGAGTCTGCGTGAACTGGAACCTCAAACCTTTTGGCCAAACACGTTTGAGCCCCTTTTTGCACGAAGGGATGTGAGAACTCTGTGGGAATTCTCGTATCTCCTACGTGTGCTGATTGCATCCATTGTAGCACTCAGATGTGACTCTCTTTCTTGGCACAAGAGAGATTAGTTTGCATTTCCTCTGCGAGTCAGACTGTATCTGTAGCTGTCTCCTGGTACAGTGCTTAGCATATCATATAACCTGTTGCCTTTCAGTTGATTTAGACTCATGGCAATCCCATGTGTTACAAAGTAGAATTCCTTGGCTATAATCTTTAAAGCAGGTTGGGGGGATGTAGGCTTTCTTCATTGATGCCCCTGGGTGAGTTCAAGCTGCTTACTTTTAGGTTAGTAACGGAAAACCAAATCAAATTTACTGCCAAGTTGGATCCGACTCATAGCCACGACTCCTTGGGTTTCAGAGGCGGTATCACTATGGAAGTAGATTGCCCAATATTACTTCCGAGGAGTGGCTGGTGGGTTAGTAGTCAAGCACAAATCTTTTGCACCACCTGTGGAACTGTCATGTTGGAAAGTCATTAAGGTTTTTAAATTTTTTTAGTAAATTTTGAGAAATAGTTTAAGGTTGTAAACTACTTCATTAATCTAGTTGATATCTAGTCTTGATGTCCTTTATGGTAGCCACTACCCACAGGTGGATGTTTTAATTTAGAAACGAGTTTATTAAAATTAAGTTTAATAATCTATTTCATGGTAGCATAGTACCTAATGCACTTGACTGCTAACCAGAAGGCTGGCGGTTCAAACCCATGAGCCACTCCTAGGAAGGAAGGTTGGGCAATCTACTTCGGTAGTGATATCACCTCGGAAACCCATGGAGGGGTTGTTATGAGTTGGGTCCAACTCGATGGCACATAACAACAATAACAGTCAGTTTCATGAAATGTATCTTAATTTCACAAGCATTTTGTATTGAAAAGTGCAGACAGGATATTTCCATTATTGCAGAAATGGACACTGCTGATCTAGACACTTGAAATAAATAAAAAGTAATAAAAGCAGAGGTGACTAATCTGCTTTATAACATTACAGAAACAAGTGAAATTGGGGATGACTTTAAACAATTTTGACCCCTGATGGATGAACAAATGCATAGTCTTCATAAAGAAATAAAAAATTTACTGTTTTTTTCTTTGGTTGGCTGTTTTGTTAAATGCTTCCCCTATTTTTTCCCCCCACCCATTTGAAGTAGGTTGAATTGGTAAAAATTATTATGGAGACTAAGGACCAGAAGAAACACAGAAAGAAAAACAGTGGACCCAAAGCTGAGAAGAAAAAAAAAAGGCATCTGCAGGATTACCAACTTGGAGATGAGGAAGATGCCCAGAAAAGAAACCCTAGAGCTTTTGCAGTCCAGTCTGCTGTACGGATGGCGCGATCCTTTCACAGGTATGTTTAGCTGAAGTCTGGTGGTTCTTCCCGTTTATTCTTTTTAAATGATAGGAGCCTCTCACCGATGATCTTTGGATTTTGGATTTATGAGTTCATATAACATTGTGATTAGAGTTTGCCTAATTCAGCTACAAAGGATATGGAGATGTGGGTTGTAGACTTTTTACTAAAATGTGTGAAGCCTTTCCTGTGGAAGCTGCCTTGCCTGCAGATTGGATACAGATTTTTTTCCCCCCTAAGAGAAAAGCTCAGAGTTCTTCCTTTTAGAATTTGTTCCTAAACTTTACAGTTTCTCTGGTAATAATTGCTTGTTTTTTCCTGAATGTATTTCATATAGTTGTAAAATGTAGTATTTTATAGTTTTACTTAGTGAATCCTTACTATATGCCAGGCAGTGTACTTTAAGCATTAGTGAATTAAATTCTTCAAATAGTCTTAAAAACATAGGTGTTATTGTTCTTATTTTATGCTAAATCTCAGAAAGCAAGTTGCCCTCTGTTCTGGTTACCTAGTGCCACTCTGACAGGAATAAACCACAAATGGGATGGCTTGAGCAAACAAGTTTATTCTCTCACAGATGGGGAGGCTAGAAGTCTGAGTTCAAAGTGCCAGGCTCTGGGTGCTGTGTAAAAGCCCCTTGACCTTGAGCTTCAGCTCTGTCTCTTGCTCCCAGCCACAGAAGCATCTCTTCACTCAGGCAGCTACTAGATGCTGAAGCCAGCAAGCCCGAGGTCAACAAATAAAATGGCACAGTCCCGATGTTAATGGCAAGCCATTAATTTAAGTTCATTGAAAGTCCCAAGGTTGGCAGAGCATGGCAGGCTGCTGAACAGTGACACGGTTACATGCAGGGTTCAAGCATGCCATAAGCTAGAGACTGTTCCCCAAGGCTTCTCCTTATATACAGGAAGCAGACCATATCCCTAAGCCAGCTACTCAGCTGCTCACAGTATATTCCACCATGGAGTTGATTACCAGTCTTATCATGGGGAATACTATATAGCAACTATTAGGTTTAAAAAAAAAAAAAGTTGCCATCCAGCCAACTCTGACTCATGACAGACCTATGTGTATTAGAGTAGAACTGTGCTCATGCTCCATAGTGTTTTCATTGGCTGATATTTTAGAAGTAGATGTTCAGCTTTGCTTCTGAGGAGCCTCTGAGTGAACTCAAGCCTCCAACCTTTCAGTTAGCAGCAGCTAAGTGAGTTAACAGTTGTGCTAAACAGGGACTCCAACCAGGAAGTAGGAGAGCCACATTTAATTCCCAGTTTCTGCTTTTATACGGCCTCGGTGTTTGCTTTTTGTTTTCTTTTAAATGTATTGCTCTTAATGTATAAATTAATTCATTTTAAGGTATTTAGTTTTAAAGTCTCTGCACTATTGAAGTCCTCTTGTTACATCATTACTGAAAGGCAGTTATGTGAATTGGGGCCAGAAGGTGACAAGCTAACAGTTAGCAAGGTACCAATATGTACATATTGTCTGGTTGCTCTGTTTAAAATAATGGATGCCTTTTGTATTTTCAAAGTGATTACCCCCTTCTCTCCTCTTCCTTCTTTCTCCCTTTCCCTTCCCTCCTTCCCCACCCCCTGCTTTTTTTTTTCAAACAGAACTCAAGATTTGAAAACAAAAAAGCATCATATTCCAGTGGTTGATCGAACTCCACTAGAGTCCCCACCAATAGTGGTGGTGGTGATGGGGCCTCCAAAAGTTGGGAAGAGCACGTTGATACAGAGCCTCATTCGGAACTTCACTAGGCAGAAGTTGACTGAGATCAGAGGCCCAGTCACAATTGTGTCAGGTGGGATAGTATAGGCACAGAACTGACATAGTTGTTGGTGGTATTGTCTGTGGGCCATTCATGTCTCTCTTGTTTTCCTGGTTGATAAATATTAAGGTACTACTGTCATGTTGTATCACCTTTCTTTTACTAAATTAGTCATAGAAAAGATAGGCTCCTAGAAGTAATAATGATGTAGTTGTTATTAGTTGCCATTGAATTTGCTCTGTCTCATGGTGACCACATGCACAATGAAAAGAAATAGTACCTGGCTTTGTACCTTCCCCATGATCAGTTGCAGTTGTTACATTATGATCCATTGGGTTTTCATTGGCTGTTTTTAGAATTGAATCTCCAGGCCTTTCTTCCTATCTGAAATAGCATCATAGCAACATACAAGCCATCACAGTACAACAAACTGACAGACTGATGGGGGTTGTGCATAGGGCGAATTAACTGGGAATAGAATCAAGATCTCCCTCGTGGAAGGAGAGAATTTTGCCGTTGAACCACCAGTGCCTCATACATACCTTATTTTGACTGCTAAGTGGATTTGCCAAGTGTGCTTCTCTGAAAGACTTAGCAGGCCTGAATAGTCTGGCCTGGTCATAATCAGCACATTTATTTTATAGCTTCAAAAAGATGCACTGTTGGAAGCACTTACTAATCTATAGCAAGAAATTTAGAAGACAGCTATTTATCCAGCTTATCAGAAGAGAGGTGTATCTGTGCTGTGGTGGTTATGTTGGGTGTGTCAACTTGGCCAGTTCTGGTTGAGTGGCTGGGCAGCTGGATGTAGTATTCCCCATGATGAAACTGGTCATCAACTCCATGGTGGAATCTACTGTGAGCAGCTGAGTAGCTGCCTTTGGGAATGTGGTCTGCTTCCTGTATTTAAGGAGAAGCTTTGAGAATGGTCTCTAGCATATGGCATGCTTGGACCCTGCATGTAGCCATGTCATTGCTCAGCAGCCTGCTATGCTCTGCCAACTTGGGACTTACAATGGACTTAAGTTAATGGCCTGCCATGTGGTTTGGTAACATTGGGCCTGTGCCTTTTGACTTGTCAACCTTGGGGCTTCTTAGCCTCAGCAGCCCGAAGCTGTCTGAGTGAAGAAACACCTCTAGCTCCAGTGGGCTGGGAGCAGGAGGCAGAGCTGGACCCCAAGGTTGAGGGGCTTTCACCTAGTCCTTAGAGCCTGGCACTTTGAACTTGGACTAAAAGCCTCCAAATTGTAAGAATAAACTCCTGTTTGTTAAGGCCATCCCATTTGTGGTATATTTCTTGCCAGAGCAGCACTAGGTAACCAGAACATGTGCCCATTCCAAAGAGACGTGATCAAATTGAATGGAGAAATTAATGGAAATACCATTAACATCACATAATAGCAAAATTTTGCTGAAGATGGTTGCAGCTGTACATCAACAGGGAACTGTCAGAAATTCAAGCTGGATTTAGAAGAGAACATGGAACAAGGGATATCATTGTTGATGTCACAGGCATCTTGGCTAAAGCAGAGAATACCAAAAAGATGCTTGCCTGTGTTTTATTGACAACATGAAGTAATTTGTGTGAATTATAACAAATTATGGATGCATTATAAGGATTGGGAATTCCAGAATACTTAATTGTGTTCCTGTGGAACCTGTACATGGATTAGGAGGCAGTCATTTGAGCAGAACAAGGGGATACTGTGTGGTTTAAAATTGGAAAAGGTGTGTGGCGGGCTTGTATCCTTTCTCTACTTACTTAGTCTGTTTGCTGAGTAAATAACCTGAGAGGCTAGACTATATGAAGAAGAATGTGGCAATCAGGAAGACTGGTAAGCAGATGGCACAATCTTGCATGCTGAAAATGAAGATTACTTGGTGCAATTATGGATGACAGTCCAAGCTTTCAATATAGATTATACCTGAACATAAACAAAAATCTTTATAACTGGTCTGATAAACAACATCAGGATAAATGAAGAAGAAATTGAAGTTGCCAAAGATTTCACTGTACTTGAATCAATAATCAGTACCCTTGAAAGCACCAGTCAAGAAATCAAGCAACATATTGCATTGGGCAAATCTGCTGCAAAAGACCTCTTTAAAGTACTGAAAAGCACAGATACCATTTTGATGACTAAGGTATGCCTGACCTAAGCCATGGACTTTTCAGTTGCCTCATATGCATGTGAAAGCCAGACAACAAAAAAGGAAGATCAAAGGGTAATTGTCACATTTGAGTTTTGTTGGTAATAGATATTAAATATACCATGGATTGCTAGAGAAATGAACAGTCTTGAAGAATTATAGCCAGAATGCTCCTTAGAAGGGAGGATGGCAAGGTTTTGTCTTGCTTGCTTTGGACAAGTCATCAGGAAAGACCAATTGCTAGGAGAAGATATCACACTTGTGAAAGTACAGGGTCAATAAAAATGAGGGAATCCCTCAATGAGATGGATTGACATAATAGTTGCAGCAGTGGGCTCAAACACACCAATGAATGTGAGAATGGTGCAGGACATGGCAATCTTCTATTCTGTTATACATAAGGTCACCATGAGTTGGACCTGACTTGATAGCAATTAACGCAGTACCTCCTATTTACCAGGTATATGTGCTTGCCCTCGTGAAGTCATATTCTTGTGGAAGGTAGAGGGAATGTTTTTCTTTTTCACATGGGAATTTGCTCTGGGATAGTAGTAATGTAGTCAGGTTGAAGCTTTTCTTTCTCTTTAAAGCATTTCTTTTTTTAACATAATCCCATTCTTTTTCCTTAGTTTTGTGGATGTTTTTAGCTATAGTGGGAACACAGGAAATTTTGATACAGATAAAAGCACTGGCTCCCTACTGAATAGAAGATTCACTCATCATGAAGCCTTCTGTCTGCCTTTTCCAGACAGAATTTTACTTGTTTAAGCAATTCTATAGCCTTGATATTAATTTAAAATTAAGAGGGAACATGGCAAGAAAACCAAGATGGAATTAAATTATTTCAGCAGTTTTCTTCTATAAAAGTGAACTTTGGCTTGCTCCTATGAATATATATAGTGTTTTATTGGATGCAATTGGGGATCCCTGGCTAGTGCAAGCTCTTGACTACTAGGCTAAAGTTTCGTAGTTCAGACCCACCCAGAGAAACCTCAGAAGACAAGCCTGATGATCTGTTCCTGGAAGGCCACAGCCTTGAAAACCCTGTGAACCGTTCTACTTTGCACACATGGGTTGCCATATATCAACTTGATGGCCACTGAAAATGACAATTAAAATTAAAAATTAAATGATCACTAGAGTTAATGAATAGATTTTTTTTTCTTCAGGAATTTTTTAAAATAAAATTTCATTTTTTCACTTACAGGTAAAAAGCGCAGACTTACCATTATTGAATGTGGATGTGACATTAACATGATGATTGATCTGGCTAAAGTAGCAGACTTGGTAAGTCCATAGCGGCAGCCTGAGTTTCTAATGGAGACTAATGATGTGACAGTTTATTTATACCACATTGAAGAGCAGAAAAATTTATGACTGTCAAAGGAATACAGTAATCTGAATTGATGATGATGATGATGATAAAGGAATATACACAATCAAATATATTTTAAAACCTAAAAGCAAAAATAGAACAATAGGTAAACTAGTGAAAAAGGTCAACCTTGAGCATTATGCTCTTTTAAGAACTATATGGGGTCAGATTGATAACAGCAACTTGAAAAAATAGATGGGAACGTTAGGGATACAGTTTATGTTAATGAGGGAGGAACACCTCAGAAAAGGAGAGAGAATGGTTGTACAACTCAGAATGTAATCATTGTCACTAAATTGTACATGTGGAAACAGTTGAATTGGTGTATGTTTTGTTGTATATATTCTTACAACAACAAAAGCAAAACAAACCAAAAACTTACATGCAAAGCACAGGATAGAGAAAACCTTTAATGAACATAGCTAATAAAAGTTTATTAACATGAATATGCATATAAACATTAAGTACCATTACTTGGGCTCTTACTAGGCAGTGTACTAACAGCTCTTTGCAAAATTAAATCATCTAATCACCCAGCAAGACTTTGAGATAAGTAGGTATTCCTGTGATGAAAGTGAGGCTCCCAGTAGTTAACTTGTCTGAAGATGAGTACCTTGGTTCTGATGAGGCCAGAACTTTCCGTTCTTCATGATTATGATAAGGTAAATACATGAATTGCCCTTGACAGGTGATCAGAATTGATACAGAAAATCTAGACAGTGTTTAGCATATGGAAAATGTGTAACTTATTGTATTTACAGAAATGGTAATCTTCATTATCTCTAATATTCCACTAATATCTAAATGAGCAGAAGCAAAGTAAATTTTGTTTTTAATTAAGCCATATTTATTAGGAAGTGTGGGCTAATAGATACTTCTTTAAAAAATTATTTTTTTCAACCCTTTAAAGAGGTGACTGATGATAAAGAGCTATAAACTGTGTTCTTTGACCTAGGAAATCTGCTAAAATACAGAATAATTTAATAAATAGAACACAGCTATTCTGTTTAAATATCAAAAAGATAAATATTCAAATTTTGAACATGTAGTATTATCATTAGTAAATATAAGTGTGTTTTGATCAGCACAAAATAGTATAAATTTATTAAACCGTGTGTATTTGGAATAACATACATTAGTCATTATATTCTCTTTTATGTAAAGTCTACCAAGTCTGTAATATTAAACCAGAAAACCAAACCCACTGCCATTAAGTCGATTCCAACCCACAGTGACCCCATAGGACAGAGTAGAACTGCCCCCACAGGATTTCCAAGGCTGTAAATCTTTATGGAGGCAGACTGCATCTTTGTCCCATGGGGTGGCCGGTGAGTTCAGACTGCCAAACTTTTGTTTATCAGCTGAATGCTTTAACCACTGCACCTCCAGAGTTCCTTTAATTTTAAAAGCATACACATTTGGAGAGACATTTTCTGTATACCTTTTTAAGATTTTTAAAAAGATATGTGCACTTGGTAAACTATTCAGAATAGCACTGTAGGGTGTACGAAGTGTAAGTTCTCACCTTCCTAACTCTGACCCCTGGCCTGTCAGTTTCTCTCAGAGCGGTATCCTTCCAAATACATATATAAACACACGCTCAATCTTTTTGGTATTTTAAAATACCTTGTTTCATGCTTTAACTTCTTTCGCTTGGCTTATTTATCTCACCTTACAGGTAAATAATGAGTATTTATAAGCTTAATATCATTTTTTATAGTTACATAGGGTTCCATTGTGTGGCAGCATCATGATTTATTTAACTTCATTTATGTTGATTACTCTGGGCTTAAATTGTCTTAAGTCACAGCAAAGACACATAAAATACACAGATATGCGTGTGTGTACATGTACGTGTGCACATAAGTGTGTATTAGTGGAGGAGTAAAGGGTTCACTTATCTATAATTGATAAAGATTGGCAGCTAAGGGACTGCTTTCCAGTCCCATTTGTAGGAATACACAGCCCACTTGCCTTCACATTGTTTCAGTGTATTTGGAGAATTCTGCACACTGGCTAGTCTGAGGTCTGCAGTGGCAGCTGTGCTTTCTGGCATCCAGCTTCCACCACACTCTGTAGCCCACTTTCATATACTTTGTGGTTTGGGATTGTAGAAGTTCCCTAGTTTAATCAAAGATATGTTTTTCTGTTCCTATTCTTTGTTATGATTTTTAGTTACCTACAGAAAGATGAAAGCAGTAATGTTAATGTCTTAAAGCTAAAAGTCTCCTGGAATCAACTCTGAAATTATTTTGCATGCTTGAAGAGTTACAAATTTTAAAAATTGTTTTTTTCTGTTTACATTTTTGTATAGTTCCCATTCATCATGTCACCACCCTTTGATTCAAGTCTGAATTGAGAGGCTTTGTTTTATTTGTTTTAGTTTGTAAGCAACAGCATAATACAAGTTAACATTCAAGATAGCACTTTCCTACACATTTCTCTGCAAAAAAACAGATGATTTCTTCCCTATGGGAAGATTGAAACAAAAATGTTTGGTTTTCTATACTTTTTTAATATTTTTGTAATTGAGTACTACTTCAGTATTTTGGGTCTCAGAGACGTGTTATATGGATTCCTTATTAGAGACTTGTTATTTAGCGTTGAACTGTTACTTAGCATTAGATCGAGATAACATACATGATCTATTTTGGTAGCTTCTTGAGAAATTGTTCTGTTTTTAGGTTCTGATGCTTATAGATGCCAGCTTCGGGTTTGAAATGGAGACATTTGAATTTCTAAACATCTGTCAGGTACATGGTTTTCCTAAAATTATGGGAGTTCTCACCCACCTAGACTCCTTCAAATATAATAAGCAACTGAAGAAGACAAAGAAGCGATTAAAACACAGATTCTGGACAGAAGTCTATCCGGTAGGAAGAGAAATAATTTTTTGAATACTAACTAATGCTATAATCCTTTTCAAACAGACATAATGTGGAGGAGAAATTAATAAATATCCCTACAGGATTTGTTCCTGAGTTTCTTTTATATATGTAATCCAGTCTCTCAAATATATCCCTTGAAACAGTCTTTATTCTGGGCCTCTTAGTGTGTGTTACTTGTCTCTGTATCCCCACCACCAGAGAGTGTCTGGATGTGAGGGTTAGGACTCAGAGTTCCTCAAAAGTTTCTCCTAGGAACTGTTGTGCATACATACTGCCACTTCTCCCTCCCCTCCATAACGTTCTGCTCATTTGATCACAGAATTCTTTCTGTACATAACGTTCTGCTCATTTGATCACAGAATTCTTTCTGTACTCAAGGCCCTCACTGCACTCCTTGATACTACACTCCAGACAAATACTGTCAACAAAGACATCAGTCATGAAACTAAACTTTCATTTCTGTCCCGAATTGGTCCTAACAGGATGGATGAGTCTTGAAGGAAGCCCTTTTTCCACCTGCCAGAATCCATAACAATTAAAAAACCCAGATCATAGGTTAACCCTCTTCCATAAAGATTTTGTTGAATATGTTCTCTACTCCTGGCTCCCAGTACAAGTCATTTCCTATTTCTCAGGTCTTATTTAGGGAAGGTATATCTTATACACCCAAAGAGAAATGCCTGTTCCTTTTCCTTTGGTAGACTGTGAACTGTGCTTCCTTATTTCTGTATTTTGTAAATGCTTAGTAAATGAGTGCATGTGATAAGGCATTGACATGTAGATTCTAGAAGCACTGGGACAATTATCTTGCTAAAAGTCTCCTTTACTTAGAATTGTCTGTGATTTAGAGTCTTTATTTTGGTGCAGTATTAGTAAGAACTTCATCAAAGTTTAAGTTTGTTTGTTTTAAATATATAGGGTGCCAAGCTCTTCTACCTTTCTGGAATGGTACACGGAGAATATCAAAACCAAGAAATTCACAATCTGGGCCGTTTTATTACAGTTATGAAGTTTAGGCCTCTCACTTGGCAGACATCTCACCCTTATATCCTGGCAGACAGGTAAAAAGTGAATGTAAACTTTTTCTTCCTGGCTCATATATCCTAAAGCTAAAAAGATTAAAGAAAAAAAAAAAAAGAACAGTGATAGAGCTTATTTTATGCCTATGTGATCAGTGAGAGGAGAAATGTACTTGAGGGAAAGAATCTACTGTTGCTGAATTATCACTTAAAGATATTGTGTCTTTTTTTTTTTTTAATTGTGATTTGGGTGAAGATTTACAGAGCAAATTCACTTTCCAAACAGCAGTTCACATATACTTTGTCTCATGTCATTGACCACAGTTTACCACAATGCGCTCCCCTCCCACTTCCTCCCCATAGTTACCTCTTCCCAGTATCCATCCCTCCATATACTCCTGCCCCCTGAGCTGTCTCCCCCTATGCATAAGCAGCCCTTCTTTCTCCCATGATCTCTCCAAGGAGGGTGTCTACCTGAGGTAAATGTTCAATTCATATGCCTGTCTTTTGTTTGGCTGGAAACAACAGGTGTGTGTTCAAATCCAGACCTGAAGAGCAGCTAGGGGCCATAGTCTGAGTGGTTCCTCCAGACACTATTGGACCAGCAAACCTGGTACCCACCTTTTTTTTTTTTTTCTCCAATGATTTTGAGTTTTGCTCCACATTGTTCTCCCTCTCTAACAAGGATCTCCTACATAGATCCCCTTCCAAGCGGGTGACAGTGGTAGC